CTCCCTATGGGGCCACGAACCGTGTGAGGTGTGTGTCGAAATTGGGCGGCGCCACCATGCGGACCTTGCCACTGGGGCCTTCGGTGGAGCTCCCATGGGGCCACGAACCGTGTGAGGGGTGTGCCGACATGTAGCGGCGGTGCCATGCGGACCCTGCCACCAGGGTCTTCGGTGGAGCTCCTTATGGGGCCACGGACCATGTGAGAGGTGTTCCGAAATGGGGCGGCGGTGCCATGCGGACCCTGCCATTGGGGCCTTCGCGTGTGAGAGGTGCGCAAAAATGGAGCGGGGCCGCCATGCGAACCCTGCCACTGGGGCGTTCATTGGAGCTCCCGATGGGGTCACGAACCGTGTGAGAGGTGCACCAAAACGCGGGGCCGCCATGCGAACCGTGCCACTGGGGCCTTCGGTGGATCTCCCTATGAGGCACGTTCCGTTTGAGGGGTGCGCCAAAATGGGGCGGGGCCGCCATGCGAACCTTGGCACTGGGGTCTTCGGTGGAGCTCCTTATGGGGTCACGAACCGTGTGAGGGGTGCGCCAAAACGCGGGGTCGCCATGCGAACCGTGCCACTGGGGCCTGCGGTGGAGCTCCCTATGGGGCACGAACCGTTTGAGGGGTGCGCGAAAATCGGGCGGGGCCGCCATGCGAACCTTGGCACTGGGGTCTTCGGTGGAGCTCCCTACGGGGCCACGAACCGTTTTAGGGGTGCGACAGACGCGGAGCCGCCATGCGAACCCTGCCACTGGGGCCTTCGGTGGAGCTCCCTATGGGGTCACGAAACGCTGTGCTGGGCAGGTGAAACGCAGGGAGGAAGGAGGATGGGGAGGAGGGAGGAGGAATAGGAGGGAGGAGGAGGGGGCAGGAGGGGGCAGGAGGGAGGGAGGGACGCGGGGCCTTGTCTTTTCAAAACGAGGACCCAACACTACAGGATGGTTGGGGAAAAAACACGCAGACACAAATAATCGTCGATGCCCCGAAAATATGTGAAAATATAGGACATGGGGGGGAATTCAAAAACCCAGAAGAGCCTGTCCCTCTACAGGAGGAATATTCAAACATGGTTAAAACATAGTTCCGTGACGACTTTTTGAAATAGCAGTTCAAAAGAAAGTGTTTTCGAAAATGTTTGCGGGAATGCTTTCGATGTTTCTTCCAAAGCCCCCCTGCACGCGCGACCTCAGCCCAGGGCGTCCCCAGGATCCCTGGGTGGGCCCCTGCGCCGGCCAGAGACAAAACCCGTCCCAGCACGAGGCCCAGGGCGCACGAGGGCTCCCGAAACGGCACGACAGGCTGGATGCCTCTGGCCAGGGACCCAGGGACCCAGACATCCTCGTCGTCTTCGATCCTCCCTGATCCTCCTGAGGCCTTCTCGTCCTCCTCCCCCTCGTCATCTTCGGTCCTCCTCGCTTCAAGGGGCCCAGGGACACACACACAAATAGATGCACACAGATAACAGGGTTCCCCATAGCTTCCCATATTTTCTGGGTTTTCGTCTTCCCCCCCGCTTCCCATATCTTCCCATATTTCCTTGGGAATCGACGATTACTTGTGTCTGTGTGTCTTTTTCCCTCCCTCCTTGATCCTCGGTCCTCGAGAGAACCCTTCGACGGTCCCAGGCCCCCGCGAAGGCCCCCCCAGAGGCCTGAAGGCAGCCCCAAAAAACTTCCCGTCGGGGCTGCCTTCGCGGCGCGAGGGGAGAGGACATGTTGCAACGCCCCCAGCCATGATCGCGTTTTTCTATTGAATCGCTTCGCTCATTCCGCCGGCCCTGGAGCCCTCTTTAGGGCATTTTGGGGGCCTCTTGGGGACCTCTTGGGAGTCTCTTGGGGCTCCTTGGCGGCGTCTTGGGGGCCCCCGGGGCCCAGGGGCCTCTTGGGGCGGGAGGGGGGATACGCCCCCAGACATGATCGCGTCTTTTTTACCAATAGATAGGACGGGCGGTTTTTGGCCACTTTCGGCCCCGGGGGGCCCTCGCTGGGCCTCGGGGCCGTCAACCTAGACGGTGTTTTGGCGAGTTCGTGGGCTGTTTTTGTTTCGATTTCGTTTTGCGGTAGAGGCGGATTGAAGACAAAGCAAGGGAAAACGAACACAACACGAAAACGAAAAACACCGTTTAGGTTCAGCCCTGGCCGTCAAAAAACTACTCGGTACGAAAAAAGCGGTCCCGGGGAAAGGGTCGGGACTTCCAGGGACGCCGTTCCGAACAAATCAGGGCGTCGCATGTCTGGGGACATTTCTTCGACAAATCCAGATCTAAGTTGGGCCTGTTCCTCTACAGGAGGAATATTCAAAAATAGTTAAGATATACAGTCAAGACGCTGAAATAAGGATCACATTGGGTTCGGAAGTGCGTGTCATATCGCCTCCTAGCCTGGATAATGTTTCACAAGGGTATGATTTGCTGCGCTCCGCAGCCCCTCGCGAGGCTCGAGAAAATGGTTTCGGTTATGAGATCGGATACCTCCCGCAGCTACCGCCGCCCATTCTGGGCTCTCGGGTGGTAGCGGAGCGCTTCGGCGCTGCACGATCCGCGGAGTCAGCGACAACGTCAGCCAGGGCTGGCGAGAACTAGGGCTTCGAGGTGATCAGCATCAGCAGCGGCGGAGAGAGAGACCACCAGTGCGACTGGAAGAGGATTACGGTCCAGCTGATCTCGCTCGGCAAGATCAAAGGATTCTGGTCAGAACTCGGCAGGTGGTTGTGTGCTATCAAGAAGCAGGGCCAGTTCGTATTCAGGATATCGAGGATGGCAACACCCGAGGAGATCGTCAGAAGGCTCGAGGCGCTCGAGCAGGCGAGCATTGAGCTGGTGCAGGAGGCTCGACGCCAGCGTGATCGAGCGGATCAACTTCAAGAGGCAGCCGCTCGCGCCGCTGATGGCGGTGCGGCGGCAGGAGCTGCGGCGGGAGTGGCCGCTGCAGCAGGAACGGAGCTGGACACAACGCCATTCGACACGAAGAATACGAAGAACCCCGACAGGTTTGACGGTAAGCAGGAGTCCTGGTCAGACTGGTGTTTCTTGTTTCGCAGTTATGTGGCATCACAGGACGAGTGCCCCATCGAGCTGATGGACAGAAGTGCGACCATGGACGAAGAAGTGGCCATGGGCAGATCGTTCAATGGCGAGAAGGCCGGAGATGAGAAGTGCCGAGGATGTTGTTCCACTTGCTGACGGTGAGTATGACGATGAAGTCTCGTGGATTCAAGCTGGTCAAGAACACGAATAGCTCCAACGGTTTCGAGGTTTGGAGACAGCTGATCATGGAGTACGAACCCAGGGTCAGGGGACGACAGGGTGCACTGCCCAACCAGTTGCTGAACACGATGATCAAGGCTGGAGTTGGACACAGAGAAGCCATCGAGACATGGGAGCGCGAGGTCACCGAGCACGAGGAGCAGGCCGAGGATATCCTGCCAGAGTCTATCAAAGCGAACGCGCTAGCCCAAGGGCAGGAAGACGAAGTTCTGAAGTCGCACCTGACGTTGAACTCGAACAGGCTCACGAGATATAAGGACATCAGAAAGGAGATCATGGACTACATCGCGAATCATCGCGTCTGGCATCGAGACAACGATCAGGCAGTGCCGATGGACGTGGGCGCAGTCCGCAGCCGGAAGGATAAAGGCGGCAAAGACTCCCAGGGCAAGGGCAAGAGTGCCAAAGGTAAAGTCAAAGTCGACCCAGGCAAGGCCAAAGGTAAAGGTAAAGACGGCCAAGGAAAGTCCCAGGCTGCGAAGAACGACAAGTGGCGCGACTGGCACACGATGGCCGGACACGTGACGGAGACGCGCAGGAGAAAGAGGCGCTATCATCAGAGACAGGCGAGCCAGAGCAGCAAGACCAATGCAGTCGTTCCTCAGCAGCAACCAGCTCAACCTGGATGTGCGACGTCCACCATTTGCCCGAATGACTCGGCATCGCTCGCGAACGCGATTCCCATTGGCATGTTGGCGCAACATCACCTGGACATGGCAAGGAGACTGGCGCAGTCGACAGTCGGCCCATCATCGGCGATTTCAGGATCGGCGATGACACTTCAACAGGTGAGAGGCGCGCCAACCACCTTTCAAGAGAAGCGCGCGCACCCGTGGCCCGACGCAGACAACGGGGGACCCATCTACGCGGGCACGCGGGCGGCCGCAGGTGCGAGCATCTTCGAAGACGACGAAGCGGACTACCTGATGATCGACAGCGGCGCAGGCATCACTACTTGCCTCGTGGAGTTCGCAGAGGCAGAACCGCAGGGCAGTAGCAACTGGATTGTGCCGAAGAACTTGCCGCCGCTTGAGGCCGCGACAGGGCAGTCGATCATCCACTGCGGCGCGTGCGAGGTCATTTTCATTGCGACGACGCTCGACCAGCAGCAGGAGATCTTCAAGATGCGGTTCCAGACCACGGGCGTCAAGTGCCCGATCGCGGCGCAGCAGGATTTGCTGGAGGCAGGCTTCGCTCCCTAGTACGGGTTGTACTCGAGCGCGCTGGAGGCGCCGAGCGGACGGGTCTTCCCATTGGCGCAGCAGGGCCGCATCTGGCACATGAGGATGAGGCGCGTGGTCACAGCCAGCGAGCCAGCAGTCACGATCGCCCCACTACGACAGCCAGCTGTAGCTCGACCCATCCCAGTCTATCGGGATGGGCGGCAGCCAGGGCCAGCAGGAGGCGAGGCAGCAGGAGTTAGCCCAGGAGGAGCAGCGAGCTCATCAGCCGCAGGAGCGGCACCTGCCGCAGCAGCAGCGGCAGCAGCAGAACCCGGAGACGCTCAACCTGCTGACCACCTGGAGATCGTTCGCAAGGAAAGGGGCGCTGTCGAATTGCGCGACAACCACGAGAGCAGGGTTGCGAGAGCGAAGGGTGCTCCAGTGATGCCACCGCTTGCCGAACGGCAACTACATCGAGCTACCCCCTGGCCGCGCCGTCCGCGGCGCAAGGCTTGCGTAGTCGGAGGAGGGCGCGAAGAACTTCATGCCAGGACGGACCAGGAGAGGGGCACGCCCCAGGTCTGGATCGATTACTCGTTCCCAGGAATGAAGGGCACCGATGATGCGATGACGCTGCTGGCGGTCTGCCTGGACTTCGAGCCGTCGGCTATCGAGAATGCGAACTTCATGGGGAAGGGCGCGGCGGATTGCGGCATCAAGGTCCTGGCGCAGGCGTTGCAGTACTGGGGCCGCAAGCGCGCGGTGGTGTCGCGTGACCAGGAGAACGCGATCACGGCGCTTGCGAGAGCGGCAGCAGCCGCACGAGACGAGGGCGGTGTTGCAGGTCGGCCCAAGGCTCGATTCCAAGTCCAAGGGTCCGATCGGGGCGGCTGGAGGCAGAGTCCAGCAGCTCATTCGCACACTCGTGTACACCGCCAACGCACACGACAAAGTGGAGCGGAAGCCAAGCGAGCCGAGCAGCAGTTGGTTGGCGAGGCACGTAGGCTGGATCCTCACGAGGTTTACCGTGAGAGAAGATGGGCTGACACTATATCGTCGGCTCAAAGGACGAGATTACCACGGTCAGATCGCAGAGTTCGCGGAGACCGTGATGCACAAGTTACCCCCAGAAACCGCTGGGAAGATGGAAGCCAGATGGGACAAGGGCATCTGGCTCGGCAAGGCGAACGTCAGCGATGAGCACATGATCGGCACACCACGGGGTCGGGTCTTTGCGATATCGATCGCCAGGGGGCCCGACGAGAAGCGGTGGAACCATAATCTCTTCAGCCAGATCATCTGCGCACATTTCGAGCCGAAGGCAACGCTGCTGGCGCAGGAGGCCGTGAGCAGGCCGAGGTACCTGACCAAGGGGATTCTCAACCGGTTGGGTCGGACACCTGGCTGCCCGGCTTGCGACGAGACGGGCCAGTGCCACACTGCGGAGTGCAGGGCCAGACTGGAGGCTTTGCTGGACGCTGAGGACATTGCGAATGGCCTGGCAGCACAGGCTGGAGCGCGAGCTGAGGCACCACCACCAGCTCGGGAAGCGGTCAGGAAGCATTCGAAGCGTGCACCAGCAGAGGAGCCAGGGCGCAGAGCAGCAGCAGCCGCGGCAGCAGCCGCGGCAGCAGCCGCAGCACCAGCTCCCAGCGAGGCAGTAGACGTGGGGATGGATCATGAGGAGGCAAGCGTTGAGATGATGGTGCAGGATCCCGTGGAGATTACCGAAGGAGTGAAGCGACAGGTCTCAGAGATGGAGGAGAAGCCCGAGAGCAAGAAGGCGCGCGTAGTCGACGGGCTGGCCGTCAACGTCATGCCAATAGAACTGCGCGCGGTGGACCTTGGCGAGTACGCCGCGGAACCGTGCGAGGAGAAGGATCTTTCCAACGTCAAGGGGACGCTCTCTGGACAGCTGGCTCCCGCAGAGAAGGTTCGAGAAGGAAGAGCTCAAGAGCGTGCCGAGATGAAAGGGCATGGAGTGTTCAAGCGGGTTCACGCCACGGAGGCGAAAGGCGAGCGCGCGAGGGGCAACTGGTTGCAGGACTGGAAGGTGGGCACTGACACGGCGCGGTGCAGGTTCGTGGCCATGCAGGTTGCCTACCAGGCGTGCGACGACACATTCGCTGGGGCGCCCCCGCTGAAGTTCGCCAGGCTGGCACTGGTGCTGGCAGCGACGCTCAGGAACCACATGAACGTCTACCTGCTAGGGCTCTGGGACATCAGCGGCGCGTTCTTCCACGCTGAGATGGATGAGGACGTGTGCGTGGCGCCGCCCTCAGGTGAGGAGGGACCGAATGTCGTTTGGCAGTTGCGGAAGGCGCTGTGTGGGACCAGGAGAGCGAACAAGCTGTTCCAGCACAAGGTCATTGGGACGTTGACCGATCAGGGTTTCATCCGCATGTTGGTGACTTCAGGCCGTGGGGGCGCATGAGGACCTGAGGTGGCTCGACGAGGTCCTGGAGGCGAAGTTCGAGGTGAAGCGACGTCTGGTCGTTTACTGAAGCGGACGGTTAGCGGGACAGAGAGCGGTTTCCATTGGGAGAGCGACGCGAAGCACGCGAGGACAGTGGTCGAGGTCTACGGGAAGCTACCGGCGGCGAGGGAGATCCCGCCGGCTTCCAAGAGCATCAGGAAGGAGGTGCCAACGGCGTTGGACAAGCTGGGCTACGCGGAGAAGAAGCTGTTTCAGTCGGCGGCGCCGACGGCGCTGTACTTGGCAGCAGACAGACCTGACATCCAGTTCGCGACGAGCTGGATCATGCGCGGGATGCAGGAGCCATTGGTGCTCCACGAGCTGGAACTGAAGCGGGCGGCTGCCTACTTAGCGACGCACCCGCAGATGATGTGGTATTGTGAGTATCAGGAGTTACCGAGCGAGGTGACCATCGTGACGGACTCGGACTGGGCTGGAGATGAAGCGACGCGCAGGGGCCGTGGAGGAGGTTTCGAGTACGCCGGCAAGGCGTGCGTCGACAGTTGAGCTGGTCAGCAGGCGACACGTCTGCTGAGAAGTAGAGAAGCTGAGTATGTGGAGATGACCAACGGCGCTGCGCGGGGGATCTTCACGAAGAATCTGTTCGAGGAGATGGACATCAAGATGGCGGTGGCGGTGTGTGGCGACAGCACCTCCGCCATCGGGATATGCTCGAGGCGTGGTGTCGGACGAATCAGACACCTGGACGTGAAGTACCGGTGGTTGCAGGAGAAAGTGGCCGAGAAAGAAGTGCGCACCGCGAAGGAGCCGTGTCAGAGAACGTAGCGGATCTGATGACGACGGCTCTGGATCCCGCTCGTCGTCACGAGCTTGTGAAGAGGCTGCGCATGACCTTGGAGATCGCGAAGGGCTTACCAATGCATGGGCACAGTGAGGTTGCAGCAGTTGTGGGCTTCACAGTGATTGCTTTGCTTCGTTGATTTCCACGCGCAGAGCGTAGCCGTGAATAGTGCAGCTCGAAGCCGTGAAGAGAACAGAGTCTCTATTTACTGAAACCGACCTGTTAGGGCCAGCCGTCGGGGCGCCGACCATGGCCCGCAGCAGGTGGAGAATCGAGATATAATACCGTGCGGGCTGGAGCGCGATTTCGCGTTTCCGTCAGTCGTCGGTTTGCGACATCTGCCGAGGAGGAGTGCGTGTCATATCGCCTCCTAGCCTGATACTGTTTCAGAAGGATATGATTTGCTGCGCCCAAAATGGGCGCCCCGCCGCCCATCATGGGCTCTCGGAGGAAGGGGCTCGATGTTCCTTAGGTTCCTCCAGTGCTGTTCCTCTTGCCCTTCTGGGGCACGGGGGCGCTGACAGGGTCAAGAAGGGGCTTCGTTCCTTATTTAGCGGTCCTTCGCTCAAGGCCCGACTGTAGTTCCGGGGGCGATCTTTCGAGTATGTTTGGGCCATGTTTTGGTATGTTTGGAGTGTGTTTCGTTTTTCGTCCAGACTCCGCCTGTAGGGGGGCATGCCCGACATAATCCAAGATCTTGGGCTCCGATGGTCGGGGGAACGCCACCACCACCAACAACACCAACACCAACAGCACCACCACCACCACCACCAGGGGGGCCGCTACAGCTCGGATGACTTGCTCTTGCTGATGGGCTTGTTTGAGAGGATAGGTAATTAGGAGAGAGAGAGAGAGAGAAAACAAGACAACATAAAGAAAGAACGAGAGCGAGAGGAGTGGTCCGCAAACATTGCCAGGTCTACGGGCAACAGGCGGCTAGGTCCAAAGTTATGTCGTTTCCTCTCACAGTGTTGTTCAGATTCGGGTGTGACCGCGTCAAGCTGATGTGTGCTATGATCGTGCTTGTTGTTTCGACCGAAGTCCGCGTGGTTTCAACTTGCACGTGGTTGCTGTTGATGTATTATTTCAGATGTTAATGATGTTGCCTCGAGTTCTTATTTGGCACTTATAAACGTAGTTTCGATTGCCTGTCGCTGGTGTGTAAGGTCCAGTGTAGTTCACGTGGTCACACCAGCAGACACGCAGCAAGTCAGGCCTGCGGGATCTGTGGCCATTTGGGCTTGAGCCAGTGTTGTTTCGAGGCCGCTGCTGCTTACCCGGCGGCCTGCGGCCAGTTCCGCCACCGTGCTAGCCCAGCATCTTGTGTGGCGACTGTTCGAGGGGGCGCGGGAGCCCGTCACGTGCGACACTCCTTGCCCCCAAGTTTGGAAGGGCCAGCACGAGGATGATGATGACGACGAGGAGCACGAGGAACAGGAGGACGAGGAAGAGGTGGAGCAGGACGAGGCGGAAGAGAAAGGTCGTCACACGTGACAGCTTTCGCTTTCACTTCTCTGGGAAGCTCTCATGGAGTTCATTTGGGCCGTCTTGGAGCTGTCATGGGCTCCACTGTGGCAGTCTTGTGGGTCCCTCGGCCGTGGAGGTCTTTTGGGCCGTCTTGGGGCCACTGGGGTCCTGGGGGGCCCTCGAAGGGCCGCCGAAGGGCCCTCTAAGTGCCCACTTCGGTCGCTCTTGAGGCCGTCTTGAAGGCCTATTGGCGGCGGCGAGCGAGGGGGGGAACTGGGAAGGGCCGGGCTTTCTCAGAAGGCCTGGAAGCCCCTTGGCCTTCTTATAAGCCTTTGCCGAAAACACAAACAACTTCTCAGAAGGCGCGAGGGCTTCTGAGAAGTCCTGCCGCCTTCTGAGAAGGCCTTCTCCTTCTCACGCCCCCCCCCTTGCTCGCCGCCGATATTGGGCCACCTCTTGGGCCGTCTTGGGGCCCTCTGTGGGGCCTCTGTGGGCCGTCTTGAGGATAGCCCGGAGGCTTCTTGGGCCGTCTTGGGCTGCCGGAGCCACAAGAAGGAGACAAGGTGGAAATCGATTGAAAACGGGACCTGCTGGGGCTCCTGTTGTGGCCCTCTTCGACCCTCTTGGGGGCTTCCCGGGCCGTCTTGAGACCGCGTGGGGCCGCCCTGGGACCATGCTGGGCCGTCTTGGAGACATCCTGGAGCATCCTGGCAGCCTCGGTTGCCTGTCTCGGCCGTCCTGGAAGCTCGGGAGCGCGGGTCCATCGTGTTTTTTTTTACGAGGGGATGAGGCCTCGGGAACGCGGACTCGTAGCTTTTGTGCTGGAGGGGTCGTGGCCTCGGGAGGGGGGACGCGGCGGGCCCCTCCAGCAGACTGAGATGAGAGGGGGGGGTCACTCAGCAGAGAGCAGGAGCCCCACCAGACAGCACTCGGCACCCTGCCACGCCCCCCAAAAAAGTGCCAGGAGGCGCGGTGGCGGATGTGTTCAGCACAAGCGTTGGTCTTGCACCGCTGGCTTCCCCCGAGGGCTCGGCCTCGCTCGAGCCGCGCTTCCCGTGGCTAGCAGGGGCCGCGGACCGGAAGGCCCCCCGTCGGCATGGGAGGGGAGCAGGCAGCCATTGCAGGCAACACGAGCGTCGAGGAACCACAACATTGCATAAGCATAAACTTTTCAGAGGAGGAAAAAGGTACCCATACCGCTACTGTTTCCTCGTTTTCGCTTTTTTGAACCTCCTGGGAGGCCTTTGTCGGCACCGCTGCATTCGCCTCGAAACTCTGGTCAGAACGCAGTCTGGGCGAGGTCAGGGGAGTAGTAGAGCTCCGCGCGGTTTTTATTTGTTGAATCTGCGCTAGGCCCCGCTGGCGGCGCCTCGGGCGCAGATCCAAGCAGCCCGGCGCAGATCCAAGAAGTCCGCGCGGAGTTCCGAAAGCGTATGCTCGTGCAGTGTTCTGTTCCTCCGGAGCGTGCCCCTCGACGAGCCGGGGCCCTGCGGGGGCACGGCCGACCTGGAGGCGGAGTGCGACGTGGCCGACGAGTTCTCCTCCGCCCGCGAGCGCCGCACGGCAGCCCCCAGCTGCGCAGACTATCGCGTGGAGCCCCGCGGCAGCCTGACGCCGCGCAAGTCGACGGACATCGAAGAGCAGTCAATGACGTACGCATGATTCGCCGGAGGTCTGCTCGGATTTGTCGGATCGGTACTGGGCCCCCCTCCCTGGCGCTGGTATTGCCTCATGGGCGGCGCCAAAGGCGCCCGCAGGGGTTCCAGCGCCGATCCTAGAAATCTGCGCGGAGATAGTCAGCAACGCGCAGATAGGGGTGGGGGGAGGGGGGAGGGTTTCTTAGAAGCACCCCTGCTTCTTAGAAGGCGCGGGCCTTACCTATAGGTGTAAGGCCATCGCCTTCTAAGAAGCAGCCTTCTTCTAAGAAGCCCTCCCCCCTGCCTCCACCCCCTTGTGCGCACCGCCAGGATAGGGTGGAGTACGATCCTTGCAATCCCATCTTCGTGAGACCGGCGACCGAGCTGGAGAAGGTCGACGCCGACCTCGCCTTGCTGAGGCACCAGCTGGCCCGGCTGAGGCCCATGGTGGCGAGGAGATGCACCGCGGAGCCTTGCTGCCCAATAGTGCAGGATTACCAGCACAAGGTTCGACCACAATGCCAAAAGACACCACCGCCTGTAAGCACCGACAAAGACTCAGATTTCTCAGCGGCGGTCGGTTCTTACAGGTGGGGATGGGGGGAGAGTTTCCTGGACCCGTAGAACAACGATGGCCACAACTCACTGGTAAGAACGGACCGCGGTTCCAGACTCGGAATCGGGGGTTGGTTCTTATGGGTGGGGGTGTCTTGCGTTGTCATCATTCGAAAAGGGACACATCGAATAAGCATCAACGTTTGGAGCTCCTCGCGGATTTCTTGGATCTGCGCTGGGCCCCTTGGCGGCGCCTTTGGCGCTGCCACTGGTGCGCTCCGCGCGCCAAAGATGTGGGGGCCCAGCGCCGATCCAAGCAATCCGCGTTGACCTCCGACAGTTTATGTGTGCCGTCCCTTTGGAGACAGTTTGTTTTATCTTCCGCCGAAAACAGACATGACGTGGGGGGGGGAGAGGCCAGTCACGTCATGATTCGCGCTGGCACCATGTGGTAATAATACGTCAGAATATCGCATCTCCCAAACAGCGCCGGCACGAGTCGTGGCGTGACCAGGAGGCCGGGTGTTGCTAGAAGTGCCCCTGGCCTTGTGGAGGACGATCAATGGAGAGGAAGCATGTTGGCAAATAATTTCCAGATGTCTAAAAGATGTTTCAAATATGTTGTAAATATGTTAAAAGCATGTTTGAAACATGTTCAGAACATGTTCTACACATTTTAAACACACCTTTAATTCAATGGTAGGATTGTTAGAGTGTCGATTGTCATGGCATCCACAACCCTGGCCCAAGGTGCCCCCAGGATTTCGGAGGAGGCCCCCACGGCCTCCAGAGCACTCCTCGCGAGGCCCGTGGGGTCCTGGGCGCGCCAAAGTGGAGCGATCAAGAGCTGGGGGCACCTATGGCCAGGGGTACCTTTTCGGCACGAACAAAATGGGTACGGAAAGAATGGGTACAATGCCCAACAGCAATTCCCGTTCATTTTGAACAGGACTCGCTGTCCGCGACGCCGCGGCTTGTGCCGATTTGAGACAGAATGCCGCCTACCCAACAGCGGCCGCTGTTGGTTTGGGACAACATGTGTTGTTGGGCATTGTATCCATTTTTTCGGTACCCATTTCGTGTGTCCAAACCTTTGGCAGCCCCCGAAGGAGGGGGAAGGGCGCGGGGGGCGAGGCTGGTCACGGGCGTCGTTGCGAGTATTTTTTCAATAAGAAACTTGACTTTTACTGCTCATCCACGGGCTCCAGTTCAGGAGACTCTTTTTTGATCGTTCCCTCCTGCTCGCCTCCGCCGCGCGCCTGGATAGTCGACGGGCCAGGCGGAGCCGAAGCGAAGCGGAAGTCGAAGATTTGGAAGCTATTTTGTGGATCGCTCCCCCCGCATTCTTTTGTTAACCGTCATCTTACACTACTGTTTGGAGCGCTGCCATATTGGATCTGCGCTAGGGCCCCCCTTCCCTGGCGCGCGGAGCGCGCTGGGGGCGGCGCCGGAGGCGCAGCCAGGGGGCCCCAGTGCGAATCCGAGAAATCTGCGCGGGGCTCCGACAGTTTGTGCTCATGCCTGTCTGGCCGAAGGTGAGGGAGATGGAGTTTGCGCTGCAGAGGTCGGGCTGGACGAAAGGGTAGAATAGGGAAAGGGGGGGGTACGGAATGTGCTGCATGCAGCTGGTTTCGGCCCCGCCGCGGGGCCCATTCCTCGATGCGTGGGCGCCTCCCGGCGCCAGGAGGCGCTAGGAAGACCAGCTAAGTGAGCTGATTCTCTACCCAGCCCTTTGCTACACTGGGGGCCCATGCCAAGAAACACCCTGCTTGCCTCCAGGGTGCCCTGGGTTGCTTGGGTTTCGATTTTTTTTGTCATGGAAAGCGTGACGTCCCCACACCAAAGAGCACTAGCAGGGTCAGGTTTCTTGTGGAAGGCTTCTTGTGGACTGACCTCCACTGTATCCTGCCCTTTTCGTCGTCCCCGAAGAGGGCGGAGGGAGTGCGAGCGTGCCTCGTTGCCCTCGCCTCCGACTCGGACCACCCGTGCGGCGAGAGCAGCAGCCCCACCGCCTCGGACCTGGGGCGCGGCGAGGGCAGCCGCTCCACGAGCGAGGCGTCGTCGTGGTCGGACCTCGGCGCCGCGGAGGCCTCGGGGGATCCCATCCCGGCCCGCATGCGAGGAGCAGCAAGCGGCGTGGGCATGCTCGGGGCCTCCAATCTCAGCATCATCTGGTCCTCCACCGCCCCCTTCCCCCCCCCTCCTCCTCCTCCTCCTCCTCCTCCTCCTCCTCCTCCTCCTCCCTCCTCCTCCTCCTCCTCCTCCTCCTCCTCCTCCTCCTCCTCCTCCTCCTCCTCCCCTCCTCCTCCTCCTCCTCCCCTCCTCCTCCTCCTCCTCCTCCTCCTCCCTTTCCTCCGTTGACCAAGAAGCCTTGCTGCGAGACCTCCCCAGCGGTGTCCGAGCAGATGGGGTCGGAGGATCGCGTCGCGTCGCCGATGCATCGGCGATGCGGCTCGATGTTGAGCTCGACTGGCGGCGCCGAAGCATCCCCGAAGCATCGCCGACGCATCGCCGATGCAACGCATGTGCATCGGCGATGCGGCGCGCTCTTCCGACCCCATCTGCTCGGACCCCGCTGGGGAGGTCTCGCAGCAAGGCTTCTTGGTCAACGGAGGAAAGGGAGGAGGAGGAGGAGGAGGAGGAGGAGGAGGAGGAGAAGGAGGAGGAGGAGGAGGAGGAGGAGGAGGAGGAGGAGGTGGCCTCTGCAGAAGCCCACGGGGATCCGCGCGGAAGCCTCGGATCGGTGCCGGAGCACCCCCCGCGGCGGCGCCTCAGCGGCACCGCCCCGGGAGGAGGAGTCCGGGCGCGCCGGAGGGTTTTTGTTCGGGGGGCGGGGCCGGCGCCGTTCCAGGGGTGTCGCGCGGAGCTCGGAAGCTCGGGCTTTCGGAGGTGGATAGACCCCCAGGCCTGTCCCTCTGCAGGGGGAATGTTCAAGAATAGTCAATAAATAGTCTGGGTTTGTTTTATTTGTTGCTGATTTTTGAGTTTTTTGGAGTATTTGTTTTTCCGTTCAAATCCCCCTGTAGGGGGGCACGCCCGACTTAAATCTACTTGGGGCGCCTTCCTACTTCAATGATCGAGTGGTTTCCCCACCTCCTTCCACTTCAGGGGGCGGGCGGAAGCCCCATCTGCTTCCAACGCCTTCCTTTAAGTTGGGCCTGTCCTTCTACAGGGGGATATTCAACAAAATTCTTTACGCTTCGCGTATCCCCACCAGCCCATCTCTCAACAGCAACTCTTGCGAAGCATGCCGACAGTCGTGTTTTTCAGGCGTGTTTCCGCCTGCCCCCGCATATCTCCCCTGTTACTCCTTCCTCCCGCCTCCTTGTACATCCTCCTTGTGGGGGGAGCGGGAGAAGGACGAGGCGGAGGAGGAGTGAGAGAAAGCGCTCCTCGTGGTTTGAGTCGTTTGGGGTTTCTCGTCCTGGTGTGAGTCGTTCGGGCCCTTCTTCCTGGTGTGAGTCGTTCGGGCTCTTCGTGGTGTGAGTCGTTCGGGCTCTTCGTCCTGGTGTGAGTCGTTCGGGCTTCTCGTGGTGTGAGTTGTTCGGGCCCCTCGTCCTGGTGTGCGTCGTTCGGGCCCCTCCTCCTCGTTCGGGCTTCTCGTGGTGTGAGTTGTTCGGGCCCCTCATCCTGGTGTGAGTCGTTCGGGCCCCTCCTCCTGGTGTGACTCGTTCGGGGCCCGCGTCGAGGTGTGAGTCGTTCGGGGCCCGCGTCGTGGTGTGAGTC